TCCTGTCCCATCCCTGGGCGGCCGACATGACCCGCTAACGACTGCCGCAGCCTGGTCCCGGCAGTCCCTGACCCGGCGGCACCAGCGGAGCCTTCTTCCTGGGCTCCTCAAGAGACCGGGGAGACAGGGAAAGGGGGAGCGCCCGGTCTCACCAGGGACCAATGACTAACGACCTTGGTGACAGAGCGCCAATGGGTAGTCGTCTTCTTGGTAGGTGGAGGGAGGCGGAGAGAGACGTGGTAACCATAGCTATGGCTAAAAAAAAAGTGTGGGGAGAGAAAGACAGAAGCAGCCACTTATCAATCGCATCCACCGCGCTGAGCAAACCCGCGTAGCCTCGACTCCTGCTGGTCAGGCGGGCCAATCGAAGCCCGAATGAACGAGGCCACGCCTGCCGAAAGACTCCCGGAGACCGCTGTACTCCAGACATGTTTAGGACTCGGGAACTCTTTGCCATAAACCTTGCATTCAGAAGCAGGCAATGCACATAATGCACATATTTGTGGGCGATACACTTTGCTGCCAGGTTTTCAGATGAAGAGCCCATCCCATGACTGTTGGCACACACAAAGGGCTCGCTGGGGAAGGGAGGAAAACTCAGGGCGGAGTCGAAGCTTGAATGTAAAAACGAGATATTCCTGGGTTTCATCGTTTGCCTTGTCTTTCCGTGGGACTAGCTGAACTAATCCCGATATAAGCCACATCCCAAGCAAACAGCTTTAAACCTTTTAACAAACATGGGAAAATGTTTAGTCTTACCAGTAATGATAGAAACAATTAAAACCCTGATGAGAAACATGTTCTGGTTTATCACATTGGAAAGGCTTTTTGAAATGACACCCGGCGGTCTGTGCCAAGAAAAAGATATCCTCATAGATGACTGATGGCCATGTAAATGTTTTTGTTCAATCAACCCCTTCTTGCTCGCAGAAAATGTTAATCGGCTTAGAATGTGTACAATAAGAATTAGAATGTGAAATAAATGACAGGAACAGGTACGGATGACCAAGATCGAAGAAAGATGTAGATAAGCAGATCAGAAATTCCTATTGTTCCAAAATTGAACAGAAAATTTGGCTTTGAATTTAGGGGGCGCAATTCCAAGTGGGAAAACACAGACCCATGTTTCGAATAAGGAAAAAGCATATAAATTCCTTAAGGCAAACAAAACTTTTTGAGGTTCTTGGATCTGATGCATTTTTCTCCCGTGGTGTTTCACATCAAAAAACCTTACGTGTGGCAGAGAAAAAGGGAGAAACTCTGCCAAAGCCGAGGGCAAATACCCTTACACCCTGATATACAAGTTTTAGATCGCCACCTTCAGGCGCCGCGTGGTTACTTTCCTACGTTCAGTGTCTGCAGGAAAGAGAGGTACTGTAGCCATTAAGTTACCATGAACATTTCCCCATAGCACGGCTTAGGAAAATGTTTGAGACCTGAAAGAAATAGACCTATGGCTCTGAGATAGGAAAACCAAAATTAAGAAATTATACCGCTCAGTAACCAAAGTGTAGCTGAATAACATTGTTCTTTTTATAGGAATATTCCAAACAGTAATAATGAGAGGCGAGACATAGCAGGTTGTGGTGGCACACACCTGTGATCCCAGAGGCTCAGGAGGCTGTGGCAGGAGGGTGGGGAGCTCAAAGCCAGCCCTAGCAACTCAGCAAAGCCCTAGACAACTCAGTGAGACAGGGTCTAAATAAAATATTAAAAAGGGCTGGAAATGTGGATCAGTGGTTCAGTGCCTCTGGTTCAATCCCCTTTGCCAAAAAATAAAAAAGAACACAAACATGACTATGAAAATCTTGCAGAAAAGAATTAAACCTGAGTCTCATCAGACATCTAGATACAACACCAATTTATAGAAAATACAAAGAAATGTTAAAAGATGCTACAGCAAAGTTGACTACAGAAATTCAACAACATGCAAGTTTCTTCAATAAATAAATTGAAAGAAAAAAAAGAAATTTAGAGGAGGAAATCTACAAATTAAAGAGACTTCTGATGGGTGTTCCACCTTGTGAATATGCTAAAAATCACTGAATAACAATGGTAAATATATTAAAAACTTTGTAAATATATTAAAAACCACCAAATAATGTACACTTTAAAAAGATGAATTATATGGTATATGAATTATATCTTAAAGAAATTTTAAGTAATATGAGAAGGGTGAAGTGGATGGCAAAATAGATGAAACAAGATTGATTTCACTTTAAATCTTGAATTATGTATGTGAATTACATCTCAATAAAGTTGTCAAGATCCTATGTTCCTTATCAATCGCATCCACTGAGTTATACATGACCAGTAAAACTCCACATCATGTTCAACCACTGCCCCAGTCCGGCTACAGCAAAATAAGGGGGGGGGGGTTGATGAGCAACTTGTGTACATTGATACAGCAGGAGTGGGAGCCATTTATTGTAGGACAGGAGGGTATATATACATTCCACACAGCTTATCTTAATTAACATAAACTAGATACAGCAGTCAACCAGTCAACCAATAAGGAACCTCCACACTTAATGGCTGGATGGCACCACCTCACAAACCACTCCCCCTGGCAAAATGCCAGGCGCCATCCTGACTTGTTCACAGACTCTAACAAACCACAAAAATGGAATCCTTGTTAGAATAAGTTGTATTCCATGTGTGTATAATATGTCAAAATACATTCTATCATGTATATTTAAAAAGAAGAAATAAAATTAATAAGTAAACTTGTCAAAAAAAAAAGAGACTTAAAAACATAACAACCAAGTGCTGTAGTGGGCCTTATAGGAATCCTGATTCACATCAACTGAGGAAAAAGCATTAATGACAATATTGGAAATTCCAACACTAAATTTCTTTTTTGGGTCCTCTACCACTGAACTACATCCCCAGTCTTTTTTTTCTCTTTCCCACATTTTTTATTGGTGCATTATAGTTGTACATAGTGACAGGATTTGTTGTTACATATTTGTACATACACACAATACACAATATAACAATATAATTTGGTCAATATCACTCTCCCCTAGTTCCTCCTTCCTCCCTACCTCCCTCACCTTGGTCTCATCCCTCTACTTATCTCTTTTTGATTTTCATAAGATCCCCCCTTGTTTCTTTTCCATTTCTCTCTCTAGTTTCTGAATATGAGAGAAAATATATGATCCTTAACCTTCTGAGATTGGCTTTTTTTGCTTAACATAATGGTCTCTAGACTTATCCATTTTCCTGCAAAGAACATAATTTTATTTCTCTTTATTGCTAAGTAAAACTCCATTATGTATATATACTACATCTTCTTTATCCATTTGTCCATTAATGTACATAAGCTGGTTCCATAATTTGGCTATTGTGAATTGTGCTGCTATAAACATGGGTAAGCGTATATCACTATAGTATGATGACTTAATTCTTCAGGATAAATATTGAGAAGTGATATAGCTGGGTCATATGGTGGTTTCATGCCCAGTCATTTGAGGAACTTCCATACAGATTTCCATAGTGGTTGAACTAATTTACAATCTACCAACAGTTTAAAAGTGTTCCTTTTTCTACACATCCTCTCCAGCATTTATTATTATTTATATTTTTGATGGCTGTCACTCTGACTAGTGTGAGATGGAATCTCAGGGTAATTTTGGTTTGCAATTTCCTAATTGCTAATGATGTCAAACATTATTATTTCATACATTTATTGGCCATTTGTATTTCTTATTTTGAGAAGTGTCTGTTTCATTCATTTGCCCATTTATTAATTGAGTTATTTGATTTTTTGGGTGTAAAGTTTTTTGACTTTTCTATGTATTCTAGATATTAATACTCTGCCAGAAGAGTAGCTAGCAAAGTTTTCTTTCATTCTGTGGGTTCTCTCTTCACATTCCTAATTGTTTCCTTTGCTGTGCAGAAACCTTTTAATTTGATGCCATCCCATTTATTAACTGTTGACATTATTTCCTAAGCTTTTGGGGGCCTATTGAGAAAGCTGTTGCCTGAGCCTCTATGCTGGAATGTTAACCCTACATTTTCTTCTAGGAGTTGCATAGTTTCTGGTCTAATTCCTAGATCTTTAATCCATTTTCAGTTGATTTTTTTTTTGTAGGATGAGAGATAAGGGTATTGTTTCATTCTTCTACATATGAACAACCAGTTTTCCCAGCACCATTTATTAAAAAGGCTGTCCTTTCTCTGATGTATGTTTTTGGGATCCTTTTTTAAAATATTTTTTAGTTGTAGATAGACACAATATCTTTATTTATTTATTTTGATGTGGTGCTGAGGATCAAACCCAATGCCTCATACATAGGCACTCTACCACAGAGCTATATTTTGGGGATCTTTGTGAAGGATCAGATAACTGTAGATGTGTGGGTTTGTCTCTGGGTCTTCTATTATGTATCATTTGTCTATGTGTCTGATTTTATGACAGTACCATGCAGTTTTTATTACTATAGCTCTGTAGTATAATTGGAAGTCAGGTATTTTGATGCCTCCAGCATTGCTTTTTTGGCTCAGAATTGCCTTGGCTATTCTGGGTATTTTATTCTTCCAAATGAATTTTAGGACTGCTTTTTCTAGTTCTATGAAAAATTTAATTGGTATTTTGATGGGGATTGCAATGGGATGGCATCAAATTAAAAAGCCTATGCTTTGAGTAGTATTGTCATTTTAACGATATTACTTCTGCCTATCCATGAACATGGGAGGTCTTCCATCTTCTGAGGTCTTCTTCAATTTCTTTCTTTAACGTTCTATAGTTTTCATTGTAGAGGTTTTTTGCCTCCTTGGTAGGATTTATTCCTAGGTTTCTCCAATTTCTTTTCTTTCTTAGTAGATTTGTTGTTGGTATATATAGGAAAGCTCTTGATTTTGTATGCTAATTTTGAACCTGTTACCTTGCCAAATGTATTTATTAGTTCTAGCTATAGGATCCTATCATCTCCAAACAGTGATAATTTGACTTCTTCCTTTCCTATTTTTATCCTTTATATATCCTTCTTTTGCCTAATTGTTCTGGCTAGAATTGTAGCACAGCATTAAATAGAAGTGGTGAGAGTAGACAGTCTCATCTTGTCCACAAATTTAAAGGAAATGCTTTCAGTTTTTCCCCATTTACTATGAGGTTGTCTTTGGTTGTCTTTCATATATAGCCTTAATAATGTCAAGGTTTCTTCTATCCCTAGTTTCTTCAATGTTTTTATCATAAATGAGTGCTGAATTTTGTTGAAGGACTTCTCTGCATCTATTGAGATAACTAAGTTATTTTTTTCCCTTAATTCTGTTTATGTGATGAATTATATTCATTAATTTGTGAATGTTAAACCATCCTTGCATCTCTGGAATAAAACTAACTTGGTTGTGGTGTATAATCTTCTTTATATGTTGTTGAACATGATTTGCTAATATTATATTAAGAATTTGCGGGGACTGGGGATGTGGCTCAAGCAATAACGCCCTCACCTGGCATGTGCAGGATGCTGGGTTCGATCCTTAGTACCACATAAAAATAAAATAAAAATGTTGTGTCCACCAAAAACTAAAAAATAAAAAATTCTCTCTCTCTCTCTCTCTCTCTCTCTGTGTGTGTTAAAAAAAAATATTTAAAAAAAGAATTTTTGAATCTATGGGGCTGGGGTTGGGGCTCAGTGGTAGAGC